AAACGTGATGTACATATAGTGAGAAATGAAAGCAAGTTGTGTAAACAAACAAATCAGCAATTTCAAAAAGATCTTCATTGGCAGTGTTGTGTTTGCCTGGTGGCTACTTTGATAATGAACAAGAAACTGAACCTGAAAACATCTCTGAGGCTGAATGTGGAGGAGCAGTGGCTGACATGACATGGAACACTATTTTTTTTTTCTGTTCACTATTTTGTGTCTTTCTCTGGCATTCTGGTCGTGCATAAATTTTCCATAAAGAAATGCAGGTGTTCTGCTGAAAATCCATCAGCCGAATCCTCTGGGTAACCACCAAGAAAGCATGTTTAAAATGCTTTTATTATGCCTGACATCGTTTTTCTGCACAAAACAGTACACATTCATTTGGAAAATACAAAAAAAACACAAAAACTTGTAAAATTGGAGAACAATGAAGAAGCCAAGAAAACCTCACTTCATTCTTGTACACAGATAAGAAATGTTGGTACTTTACTGGGCGGGGGGGGGGACCTGATTCTGACAGTAGTGACTGCCATGCTAATCGTAAACAAGTGCATCTAACTCTGACTTAGAACTGTGATGTGACAGCTTTACCTCCCAACGAAGCCTAACTGTGGCTAGACAACGCGGTGTAAGGATGACCAGCAGTTGCTGAGTTTGCTTGAGTGGGGGCTCGGACGGGGCTCTGAATGCCCTTACTGGACCTTACTTCTTGGAGAAGCAATTTTGTGGCTCTTATCAGTGACTCAGAGGCACGTTATAAGCAAAGTCTAATGAGATACCAGCCTGCTACTTGCCCGTGGTGCACGTAGAGTAAGAAGACGATGGATCCCGGCCTTCCTCCCTGTGATTTGAGGATGAGCGCATCCTCTCGTCATTCACCTCTGTCTCTCCAGCACAGCCTTGGCCCTGGGACACAGTACATGATCCATAAATGTGTGTTGCAATACGCTAGTGGCCTGGGTTTAAACTCCTATCCTATCACTTTTTTAAAAAAAAAATTTATTTATTTATTTATTTGGAAGTCAGAGTTACACAGAGAGAGAAGGAGGGGCAGAGAGAGAGAAGTTTTCCATCCGCTGGCTCACTCCCCAGTTGGCCGCAATGGCCGGAGCTGCGCGGATCCGAAGCCAGGAGCCGGGAGCTTCTTCTGGGTCTCCCACATGGGTGCAGGGGCTCAAGGACTTGGGCCATCTTCTACTGCTTTCCCAGGCCATAGCAGAGAGCTGGATCAGAAGAGGAGCAGCCGGGACTTGAACTGGCACCCATATGGGATGCTGGTGCTTCAGGCCATGGCGCCGGCCCCACCCTATCACTTCTTGGCTAGAGGATCCTATCCAGTCCCCTGGCTTCAACCCCCATCTCTGAGCAAAAGATTTTCAAATGTCAGTCGCTGACCCCACCTGCTCTTCACAGCTCCGGGCCCACCAGCTAGCTGCCTTCCGGACTTTTCCTCTTGCCTGTCCTTAAATAGCCGAAGTCAGGAGGACCCACCTTCACTCATGTGCTCTGCCTAAAGATGCTCTTTGTCCCACAACCCTCTGCTTCACTAAGGGCATTCCTGTCTAGGTACCTAAGAGACACGCTGAATTTCTCTTCACACTCCTCGACAATGTCTGCATTTGCATCTCAGTTCCTGCAGCTGCTGTTAGTTCAAACCCTCCGTGAGTCTTACCTGGACTGTTGTTACCGCTCTAACTGGTCCACCCACCTGCGATCTTCCTGTTTCCAGACATTGCACATGGTCTTAACCAAAGGTCTGTATCTACACTCAGACACAATCCTATTGCTTTCCTGCCTTCGCACTATTCAAAGGCTCCCTGTTGCTTTAAGAAGCCAATTTCCTACCCAACTCTGAGGACCCGTCACTATCTGGGTCCACCTTCCCTTTGGGTCTCATCTCTTATAAAACTTACTCCAAACACACACAGGCTGCATCAGCCACTCAAAGGTACTGCAGTACCTTTGTGCACAGGCTGGGCCAGGATCTTCTCCTCCAGAGTCTTACTGGTGGTGCTCTTCCACCTGGGTCGGAGTGCCCTCTCTTTAAGGTCCAGCTCTTACATGACCTCTGATTACTCTTGGAGGCTGCAAGGCAGACCTGACCACTTCCTGAACCTTGTTCTCACAGTACTTCAGCCATACATCTATTGTAACACTTAGATCTACAGGATACTATTTTTTAAAATATTTATTTGAAAGGAAGAGTTACACAGAGAGAGAAGGAGAGGCAGAGAGAGAGAGGTCTTCCATCCTCTGGTACATTCCCCAAATTGCCACAATGGCCGGAGCTGCACCGATCCAAAGCCAGGAACCAGGAGCTTCTTCCTGGTCTCCCACATGGGTGCAGGGGTCCAAGGACTTGGGCCATCTTCTACTGTTTTCCCAGGCCACAGCAGAGAGCTGGATCGGAAGTGGAGCAGCCAAGACTTCAACTGACGTCTATATGGGATGCCGGCACTTCAGCAGCTTTACCCACTACGCCACAGTGCCGGCCCCTCTACAGGATCCTTTAATTTGATGATGGTGGTGAAGAGGAAGAGGATGAGGAAGAGAAGGAGAAGGAGGTGGAAGAGGAGGAGGAGTGGCCTCAGAGGTGAACACCACCTCTAATGCATGGTAGTGACTATGTGTCAATGTGTGGGCAAAAATGAACTGTTGCACAGGGTGTGATGGATCCAGCTCTTGGCTCTACATCTCTCCCCTTTGAAAACAGCCCCAGCCTCTGTGTCCTGTCCACACTAGATCCATCCTCTGGGCACCGATCCTCAAACTTCACTTTGCAAAATAATTCTTGGAGGGCTGGCACCATGGTGTAGTGGATAAAGCTGCCTCCTTGAAATGCTGGCATCCCACGTGGGCTCCTGTTCTGAGAACTGGCTGCTCCACTTCCAATCCAGCTCTCTGCTGTGGCCTGGGAAAGTAGTAGAAGATGGCCCAAGTGTGTGGGCCCCTGCACCCACATGGAGACCCGGAGGAACTCCTGGCTTTGGATCAGCACAGCTCCCACTGTTACGGTCATTTGAAGAGTCAACCAGCAGATGGAAGATCTCTGCCTGTCTGTCTCTCTCCCACCCCCTCTCTCTGTAAACTCTGCCTTTCAAATAAATGAATCTAAAAAAAGAATTGCTGGTACTCATCTCACAGGCAGAGTCTGCTTCCTCCTTTGCATAGGACTGATTCAGCAGTGACTGGCACATCTTACTTGGAGGTAATCTATGGCTTAGCGAATTAGATCCGTTCAGAGGCCCAGAGGGAAGTAAAGGCTTGTCCAGAGGAAGGATACATATACTCCTAGAACCAGGGAAGAGAATGAAGCTCATTTTAGCCTGGAATTTAAATGAGATAAGGCAGAAGGACTCATTCAATTTGGCCAAAACTGTGCGAGGGTCCCTGTCCCTGTTGGTTGGGGGCACAGAGAGACAAAGCTATCTCAGCTTGACACCACTTTCAGGGTCTAGCATTCCTAAATGCAGTACCTCAAGAAGCCTCAGAACTGGGCTAGATTCCCCTCCCATATCACGCAGGCTTATCTGTACCCAGAGCTTTCCACATAGCGCATTTTGCAATTGTTGGACTGCTTGCCTGCTTCTCTATTAGACTGCAAGTTGGGCAAGGGCAGGGATTGCATTTCTTTTCTTCTTTTTCTTAATTGAATTTATTTGAAAGGCAAAGAGAGAGAGAGAGAAAAAAAGAGAGAGAGAGAGAGAGAGAGAGAGATTTTCCATCTACTGGTTCTCTCCTCAAATGCCCACAACAGCTGGGCCCAGGCCAGGCAAAGCCCGGAGCCTGGAACTCCATGTGGGTCTCCCACGTGGGTGGCAGAGACTCAGGTGCTTGAACCATTGCCTGCTGCCTTCCGGAGTGTACATTAGCAGGAAGCTGGAATCGGAAGCCACCTGGGACACCAACCCAGGCTCTGGGATACGGCATGTGGGCAACAGATCCCAAGTCATGACTTAACCCATACCAAACACCTGCCCAAGGGCTTGTGTTTCTCATCCCAGCCATCTCAGAGGTTAGCTTATTGTCTGTCTCCTCGAAGATGTCCCAGAAACTCATTGATTGGAATGAAACAGTCCTCCATTCACACCGCAGGGGACCACCGAACACCTATGCACCTGGCATTCAACTCTTCATAGTGTAACAGAACAGAAGAGCTCTGGGTCCACTGGGGAGGCAGGGCAGGTCCGGCTGGCTCTCTTCTCTCCCGGCTTGAAGGCACGCTGTGTGCTAGGGTACAGCGCACCACAGTAGCAACAAGGAGAAGCAGGGCCCGGGAATCCACGTGGGGGGGGGGCATTTTGGAAAAGTGAGAACCAGAGCCATTGGTAGGAGGGAGCGCCCCCAATGCGAGGAAGGCTGGGATGAGGGAAGAGCCGGATCTGGTCTGCATGGACCAGAAAAAGCCGAAAACAGGGTGGGAGGCTGTGGTTGGCCGCTGACCCTAACTCGGGGCGGGGCTTGGCCTGAGGACCCGGCTCCAATGCGGTCCCCTACATCCCTGGGGCAACACATGCGGGGTGGGGGGGAGCTGGGGGCCTCCTTCGCAGGAGGGATGCTGTGGCAGGCGTGGGCAGGTGCTGCGCTCCCTTGCCCGGGTAGGACCTTGGCCACCCCACGCCCCAGCAGCGTCTGCCGGGCAGGGCGGGGTGGAATAGCTAATAGGAACCGGAGGGGGATGAGTAAGCCTTGGCTTTGAGCAGGCGCCGCCAGGCAGGAGCGCGCCAAGTTCGGAGGCAAAGCTAACCCGGCCCTGAGCGTCGGAGGTCCGGCCCGCGGTCCTGGGAGGTGCCTGAAGAGAAGATAAAACGCGCCGAGACGCGCTGGGGCCGCTTTCTGCGCTCGGTGCCTGCAGCGCTCCTGGCCCAGGGCGGCAGCTCGGGACGGGCAGGCCGACTTGCCGGGCAGGCGGCCCCTCTAAAAAGCGGGCAGCCCGAAACTACAAGCTCCTCGCACGCAGGATGAAACTAATCCTCTCGGTGAATTCAGCGGGCCCAGGCCCCCCGGGGCATGGCTGCGGCGGCGGCGTGCGAGCCGGTGGCCCGGCCGAGCCTGACCTCCATCTCGTCGGGGGAGTTGCGCAGCCTCTGGACCTGCGACTGCGAGCTGGCCCTGCTGCCGCTGGCGCAGCTGCTGCGCCTGCAGCCAGGCGCCTTCCAGCTGCGGGGCGACCAGCTGGTGGTGCCCAGCCCTGGGGAGCCGGCAGCCGCGCGCGGGGGCTTCAACGTCTTTGGCGACGGCTTCGTGCGCCTCGACGGGCAGCTGTATGGCCTCAGCAACTACGTCAAGAGGTGGGTGGCCTCGCCGCGCGCCCCGGGCCCGCCACCCGGTCCCTGCAGACTCCCCGCACCCCCCAGGAGAGCCCTGACTGGCCTAGTCTTCCCCTTGCTGACTTCCCCCAACCCCGGGGAGCCTGCCAGCTCTCCCCGCCCTGGCTCGTTCTGCCTTTCTCTCTGACATGTTGCACTGCCCAGAAGGGTGTCTGCGGGGCGCAGCTGGGCGGGCAGGGCATCCACCCGTACCAAGCACGTAACTGGTGGTGGGCGCTCTTTCCACTCCGACTACCTAACTGGGTCAGATGAGGTCAGATTGGGGGGCACACCCTCTAGGGGATGTTTGCAGCTCAGCGGGGGCTGAGAGACTCACACCCTTGGCTTGAGATTTGGGATGTGTCGGGGTAGGGCGGTGAGGGAGGGAGGGTGCACAGTGTTGAGCACAACTAGCTGCTCTTGGCAAGAAGACCCCCTTGGAGGGGGCGGGCAACGTTTCCCACCTTTGGCATCCCTTAAGTGTGTCACAGATAAAGAATGGAAGACAGAATTCTTGGCAGAATCTGGGGAACAAAGCTTGAGAAAGCCTAACGGAGGGTCACGGGGGCTACCTGGTGACCAGATGGCTTCTAGCTAAACAGGTGCAGTCAATGTAGCTTCTGGGAGCCTGGCTCTTGGGCCAAACCTTTGGCTTTCCTGGAAGGAAGGGCCTCCACAGATGCTTAATGGTTGTGGCCAAAGTGACAGAAGCACCTGGGCAGAAGTGACAGCAGCTGGGGTGTGGTGCCTCCATCTGAAGCCCTCTGTGATCAGGTGGCTTTGCCAAGGAGGGCATGTCACATCTGCTTCTACTTGACCTTGGGGCTCCCAAGGTCACCGTGGCCGGTGTTGTCTTTGTGCTTGGGCAGTGGAGCTGAGTACAGAAAAGGGCTGAGCAATTTGATTCAAAGCTAAGGAAGCTGGCCAGTGCTAAAGATGCCTGGGACAGCCAAGCTGTGACGCCCCGTGCGTGGGACAGAGCCAAGAAGCGCCAGCCAACAGAACGAGATACTTAAAATGCCGCCTTCAAAGCTGTCCTGAGAAAAACCTTCATTTTCCGAATCAAGATGGTGAGGGCTTTGCATACCTGGAAACCCTTTTCCTGGCAAGAATGTGTCCTGTTTTTAGCGAAATGAAAATTCTGATCCAGAAGCAGAGGACTGTGGGCGGAACTGAGTCATAAATCAGATGTACGAAAATTTAAAAAGAAGATGCAGGGGCTGAAAAACGGAAAGGCCTAGATTTGAGGGTGTGGTTTGTGGAGAGAGCCACCTCCTCCACCTTTGGATGCTGCAAAATGCGGCGTGATTTTTGAAGTGTGTCACTAACCTGGACATCTCCCGTACAAAAGAAAATCAGAGAGTGTCAAGCCGAGAATCCACAACGAGGGGCAATGACTGGGTGACACAGAGCAGTGGGCACACACAGCCCAATAACAGGTTCTCCTGGCTAAGCAATGGTGTGGGGGCTTTGCACTCTGCAGAGCGTCTGACAGCCCTGCAGGTGAAGGGAGGAGCAGGCGTCTTCCTCCCAGGGGACACACTGGGCAGGGGAGGTGGGCTTTCATAACTAGGCATGCAGCCCTGAAGGGCAATGGGGAGGGACCCGAAGGGAGAGAAGCCTCCAGGAAGACACAGAGGACTGGCCGAGGGCAGCAGTGAGAGGCGTGGCTCTGGTAAAGCAGGCAGTGGAGGGCATGCAGAAGCGAGAGTTCACACACCTGCAGCTGCTGTGCTTCCGCCTGCCACAGAAAACCAGCTGTCTTTGACCTTGAGGATGGCTTAGAACCCCCGCCCTCCAAATGTTGCTCCACATATAGCCATGCTTCTTTTTATTTTCCTTCCTCCTTCCCTTCCCTTCCCTCCTTCTTTATGAAGATCTCAGTATCTCCCAGATTGGGGACAGGCAGGTGCACACCCTATGGTATTTTTCCACCTGCTGCACCCAATTCAGTTGTGAGGACGCCAGCTTCGCTTTGCCTTGTCTGTTGTCTGCAGAGTCAGCCTGTCCCTCAGCACGCTCTTTGCACTTGTCACAATGAGTGGATGGCACCTGGAGTTGATGGACTCATGCAACCTTTTTATCTGCCATTGTGTTCCTGCCTTTGGTGCAGGGCAGTCCCGAATCAAGGGCAGCCACCAACATGGCCAGGGATCGTGAAAGGCAAATTTCTCAGGCAATTGGATCCCAGAGCTTTTGAGAATCGTAGGTAGAATTTTTCTCTGGAAATACAGATACGTGGAGTCTTCGAAAAGTTCAGGAAAATGTGTGTTGTGAAAAACTACGCATGAATTTCAAAGCTTTCCTACCAAAATATACTTATCTGATTTGCAAATTTCACAGAGACAGAGACAGTGAGCAAGAGAGCTCTTCTCTGCTGGTTAACTTCCCACATGCCTGCAACAGCCCCAGGCTGGAGACTGAAGCCAGAAGCCAGGAACCCAGCCCAGGCCTCCTATACGGGTAGCGGGAACCCAAATATTTGAGCCATCACTGCTGCCTCCCAGGGTATGCATTAACAGGAAGCCAGAATTAGGAGAGGAGTCAGGACTCGAACCCAGGCACTCAGATGTGGGATATGGCTGTCTCAATGGGTGGCTTAACTCCTTGGCCAAATGCCTGCCCCAAGCTTATCTTTTAGTTCCGTCTGTTTAGGAAATCTTGGAATTCAGCTCCCATGTACCTAATGTACCTGGCCATCCAGGTGGTTGATGAGCTTCTCCAATGCATGTGAAGAATCCTTGCTCAATTAACGCATTTGGATTTTTTAAAAATTCAGTTTGTATTTTTGGTGTGGAATAAGCCTACATTGTATGTAAGATTCCTTTTCTGGGCCTCAGACGTGAGTGCTGTGACTCTTTGAGGTTCTTTCCCGAGGAACCCTGGGAGACCAGAGCTACTGCCTTTGAGGGTCAGGTGATTCATTTACTCAGAGAGCGCACATGTGAGCCCAGTGCTCTGCTCAGGTGCTTCCTCTGGCCCTTGAACACTGTTCTGAAGACATATGCACTAAATAAACCTAGCATCCTGTGCGTGGGGAGACGGTGTAGTGGCGGCCACCACAGGACTTAAATTTCCTTCGCGAGCCTGCCTTAAAAATATTTGCCCTACTTTATGAGATTTATAGCAAGACTTTTGTTGGCATTGCTCCCTTTCAAGCTCAGAATTTCTAGCCATGTTGCAAACAAAACCTGCTCAGGACATCAGGTGTCTGTCATAGCTACTCAAGAAATCATTCATTCAATACGGAAAAGCCCAGATCACCATAAGTTATCTCTCTCCCTCTTTCTCTCTCTCATGCACACACACACACACACACTCACACACTGCCCTTTTTCTCTATAATGTAGCCTCTTAGTGAAATATAATGGCAAACATAACCTCTTATGTCCTTTTTAAAAAAGATTTTATTTATTTATTTGAAAGGTAGAGTTACAGACAGCGAGAGGGAGAGACAGAGAGAAAGGTCTTCCTTCTACTGGTTCACTCCGCAAATGGCTACAGTGGCTGGAGCTGAGCCCATCTGAAGCCAGGAGCTTCTTCCGGGTCTCCCACATGGGTACAAGAGCCCAACCACTTGGGCCGTCTTCCACTGCTTTCCCAGGCCATAGCAGAGAGCTGGATCAGAAGTGGAGCAGCTGGGACTAGAACCGGTGCCCATATGGGATGCCCGCACTGCAGGCAGAGGATTAACCTACCGCTCCACAGCGCTGGCCCCTCTTATGTCTTCTTTCAGCAGTCCCATAGCATGAAAGAGGTCGCCTGGTAATAAATCCAAATCAGCAATAACAGTGGTGGCTACTGATATTGACGCGAGTGCTAGGGATGGTGCAAAAGCGGGTACTACCTCGCAGAAACTTACCAAGTCACACCCTTGCTAGTTCCTCTTTTTTTTTTTTTTCTTTTCAACAGATGAGAGTACTGGGACTTGGAGGGATTAAGTAATTTTCCCAAATAAGCGGCTGCTGAGCTGTAGAATGAGGGCTCCTGAGCAGCACTGTCTGCTTTTAGCAGCTGCCCTTGACCCTGAAATCATCTTGACTTAACTTGGACAGCAGCAGCTTTCTCACCCATGTGCAGAACGTACAAGCAAATACCGGGAAGTCCATCGGCCACTCAGCCTCTTGTACAGACTCAGCCCGAAAGGGGCAGTGAGCACAGTGGTTTTAAAGGAGCTGCTAAAAGCAGACGAGAGCTGCTCCCCCTGCTAGGTAGATGGGGTGTGGTCACACCCACCTTGAGGGCAGCCACAGTGGGCAGGAGACTCAGTCTCGAGGAAGTATGGATAACCATGAGCACCAGGTTCCGTTCTTCGCCAGCTGAGTGACTTTGGGAAATGTAGTCTCTGTGTGACTCAGTTTCTTTAGCTGCAAAATGGGTATAACAATACCAGCAATCTTACAGGGTCATTGTTCAGCATTGAACTTTATAAAGTCTTTAAAAACAGTGGTTGGCACTCTAATGGCCACTTGACAGATGTTAGCTTTCTTATATATTGTTGCTATTACGTAGCCTATTAGCCAAATGCCTTACCTACATTATTAATCTGTTGGCCACTTCATGCGGCTCTTGTTGTCAGCCAGATTTTACCGGTGAGGAAGGTGAATTTTAGCAAGGTTAAAATACTCACACTTGGATCTGATAATGGGAAGGCCGTGAGCCAGCAGCTTTTTCCTGGCTTCCTTGTTTGGGAGCCTTGCCCTGGACATGCAGCCGTCCACTTCCTTCTTGCTTGGAGTTCACCTGAGCCTCATGAAATGCCTACCTGTCTGCACAGGGACAGCTAGCTGCAGTCCCCAAGGCTTGGCTAAGCGGGGACTCCTCCTGGGGTCCCCCTTCCTCTTATTCTTGCCTACCCCTTGATGATGTACTTGGTTTGACTCGACACTCTCTCTTCTAGTACCTGACTCACCTCTATACATAGCTCTAATTCCAAGCCCCGCCCTCCCCTCACCCCTTCACACACACACACACACACACAC